GCCTCCTGATGAGTCGGTGAAACTCCGACGAAACAGTTTGTCACAGCCCCTCGTTTGTTGTCCTCTTCTCTCTCTCTGCCTACGGTTTACCGGGCAGTTCTGTTTGTGACGATATATATATATATATATATAAAAACAAAAAAAAAACAAGGGATTATAACTTGTAAGCTATATCGCGTTATGAAAATTTTTTAGCAGTCTTTCATGAACTTTTTCTCACGGAAAGAAAAACAATCGTGTGAGCTGGTGCACAGAAATGTCTAGATTCAAGTCATCTGCACCCTTTTGGGTTCACTGGGCCCGTGTTTTCGCTAGCTAACCCGCTTGATTGCATCATCTAAATGTTTGAAATTATATCAATTAATAGAAATCATTTGAAGAGGAGGAAGGAGCCATGCACCTGAAGAAAGGCACAGGGGGAGAATATCCGAAGACTCTGCGGGTATGTGTATCCTTCACCAAATCTCTCTCTCTCTCTCTCTCTCTCTCTCTCTCTCTCTCTCTCTCTCTCTCTCTCTCTCTCTCTCTCTCTCGCGCGCGCGCGCGCGCGTGCGCGTGTACTGTTACTGCTTGCTACGGTCGCTGTGGTTACTGTTACTGATTGCTATGGTTACTGTTACGGCTGCGATTACTCTAATTGCGTGGTATGGTTACTGTTACTGCTTGCTATAGTTACTGTCCCTGCTTGCTATGGTTATTACTGCTGCTATGGCTACTCTTGCTGATTACGGTCCCTGCTTGCTATGGTTATTACTGTTGCTGCTTTCTATGTTTACCCTTACTGCTCGCTATGGTTATTGTTACTGGTTGCTATAGTTACTGTGACTGCCATGGTTACTATTACTGCTATGGTTACTGCTACTGCTTGCTGTGGTTATTAACTTATTACTGTTACTACTTGCTATGTTTACTGTTACTGCTCGCTATGGTTACTGTTACTGCTCTCTCTGGAGGAGACGTGGCGAGAGAATGGAGGATATTGCTGGTTATTATTATTCGTCCTCTTCCGCTTCGTCGTGTTAGGGTTTGTCGTGCTGCGGTTCGTTTTTCTTTGCTTAAACCCACCAGTACCTCGGCCAGTCAAACTTGTGCGTAACCCCACCGGTACCTCGCCCGGGCAAAAACTTGAGAACGGATCCCGGTTCTTCGGATGAAACAGTGCTATCGGACCAAAATGGCGCAGTTGGTGGTGCCAGCCAAAAAAGGAAAAAAGGGCCTCGCTGCACTACTCTTGAAATGCACAAAAGGCAAAAAATAATGGCCGTGTATCTTTCCATATTCTAGCGGAAGATTCACTCTCGTTTTGCACATTTCGAGAGTAGTGCAGCGAGGCCCAAAGTGTGTTGTTGGTGAACTTGGCGGTTCTTTTTTTTCTTTTTCTTTTTTTCTTTTTTTTTTTTCCTTTTCCCTGTGGGGCACGCAGTGCAAATCCCCGTTCGGCAAAAGAGGCTCAGAGTTACCAGTGGTTTAATTCAAAATTCAAATTAATTGCGCATTGACAGTTGCTACTCCTATTGATGATCCGTGTGGCTTCAAGGAGGCTTGATGTGATGTGATGTGATGTTGATCCATGATTCCATATTGCTTTGGGATTGGGATTTTCGATTGAATGTCGTTAAACCTTGTGTATTTTGTTTTTTCCCGGGGGTGGGTTTTGGGGCGGGGGGGGGAGGGCGGGGCACCATTTTTCGATTTACTTTTCCGGTCGTTTTTCTGGGGAAAAAAGGACTTTTGGTTCGCTTCCTGTGTTTGTAATTTTCGTTTTGTTTCGTTCTCATCAGCCAGCAAACCCTTTGTGCTGGAACTGAAAAATTACGTATCTAATATCTGAGTTTTCTTAACTACCCTCCTCTGGGGACCCCCGTCCTCTCCCCCTCCCTCCCCTGCCCCACCCCACATTCCTCCCCTCCCCTCCCCCCCCCCACCCCCCCCCCCTCCCCTCCCCCACCCCACCTTCCTCCCCCCCCCGGGGGAAACTCTTGGCTTGCTTGCTTTGTTGATACTTAGCACTCTGACTGTTCATTAAATTTTGGTTGTCATCATCAGCCAGGAATCATACTGCAGGACCTCAAACAGACTGTACCAGAACTTCGAACTTTCGCTAACTTGGACGTGCAGGTGGCTTTCAACAGGGACAGCTGTGAGTTGGAAGACACCCGACCCTTTTTTTTTTTTTTTTTTTTTTTTAATCTGTTAACAAGCCCTTGTTTTCTCATTGGCAAAACAGGCAATTTCTTTTTTTTTTTTCCCCTTGAGGTGTCTCCAAAGCCTCCCGGGGCCGTGTCCCAAGCGTGTGTCTTGCTATTTTTCAACTTGGTCACACTATGACTGCCATGGTTACTATTACTGCTATGGTTACTATTACTGCTCTGGTTACTGCCCCTGTTACTATGTTTACTGTTACTGCCCCTGTTACTATGTTTACTGTTACTGCTCGCTATGGTCCCACTTCAATCTTACGGCGCCACGCGCCACCTTTGTTACTCTGCGGCTGTTGTTGTCACTCAGATTTTTATGAGCCAATTCACGCTTGGGGGTTTCATCATTCCTTCTTCTTCTTCTTCTTCTTCTTCTTCTTCTTCTTCTTCAGAATCTTCTTCAGAATCTTCTTCTTCTTCTTCTTCTTCTTCTTCTTCTTCAGAATCTTCTTCTTCTTCTTCTTCTTCTTCTTCTTCTTCNTCTTCAGAATCTTCTTCTTCTTCTTCTTCTTCTTCTTCTTCTTCAGAATCTTCTTCTTCTTCTTCTTCTTCTTCTTCTTCTTCTTCTTCTTCTTCTTACTGTTCCATGGATGACTTTTACAGTAGCTATTCTTCATGAGACATTCGCATACGGAATGCAATTGAATACCACACACCACGCATGCACCGGCGGGCCTAGCTCGGTTTTTGGTACTGCAAACCTGAATTGTCGAAGTACAGAGTCTGACCCAAGTTCGTTGGAATCTAGTTGCAAGTGAAACGGTATTCACCAGTGCGCAGTAGCTGATGCAGATCCCAGGGCTCGATCCCTAGTCCCCACCTTACCTGTGTACAGTACCTGTGTCGACCCGTAGAGTTGAACCCGCGACCTGTGTATTTGTAATAGCTGATAGGTTGTCGTAGGGTCCCTAGGTAGCATGGGTTCGATCTGTAGACCTGTCGGATAGGAGTCCCAGTCAGGTCTAGAGGTCGTAGCTGTAGTCTTCTCGAAGGGTCACGTCGTAGCTGCTACAGTACCGAAAGGCCAAGTCCACAGCCTTCCGGAAGGTCTGAGTAGTGGCTTTTCGGAGTGTCCCATACTTAGGCTAAGGCAAGTGGGCAAGTGGCGAGGCAAGTGGTGGAGTCTGCCCGTGCTGAGTCAGCGGTCCCAGTCCTAGGAAGTGCTGGTCCAGTCCAGCAAGTACCGCATGGGACTGTGTGCACTTTGGGCAGGGGAAGGGACCAGACGAACGCACTGCAGAAGTATAAATCAAGAGGCAGCGCCCAGCCATTCATTCATTCCTGCGTGAGCCATGCGGAAGCGCTGCCACAGCGACTTGTGCAAGGAGGTCTGCAGTGAGCCCGAAGGCGAAGTGGGCAAGGAAGACGAAGCTTAGCTATAGCGATAGGGTAGAGGTGGCCATAGCCGCCATAGCTGTAGTTGGTGTTCAGTGTGTGTGTGTGTGAGTGGTCAGAGAGACGCGTGTGGGATATCCAGGGTGATCCGGTGTGTGCGAACAGAGAGTTGTTTGGGCGCTGAGCCGCCATAGCCATTGAAAGTGAACTCGTACCTCCTTGGGGGATATCTCTGGTTGCCATATCTTCTGAGTTTTGAGTGGGTGCACGCCAGTTTGCTGCGCTACTGTTTGCATGCATATAAAGTGTGAATGAAAGCGAGTCTGATTGCACAAGCAGATGAACAGAATGAACAGAATAGAGTCAATAGCCCAATAGGGGCAGTCAGCTCAATGGTTATATCTCAAACTTGTCGCTCTTTTCAAGAAAGAAGAAAGCAAGAGAGAGGAGAGGAAGAGAAGGGGGAAAAAAAAAAAAAAAAAAAAAACAGCAACAACAACAACAACAACGGTGTGACAACGTGGGGGAGAGCCTGGAGGAGGAGGAGTTGAAAGAGAGGAGGAAAGGAGGTGTGCGGAGGAAGGCTCAGATCAGACGATCAGACGGCAGGGACCAGTGTACAGCAGTCGAAACCGGAACTGGACCACCTCCTCAAGTGGGACACGGGGGCCCAGTGCGCAAGGCTTGATTGTGAGAAGGGCTCAATTTCTCAAAAGATGAATCGACATGGGTGATCCTTTTTTTTTTTGGGGGGGGGGGGGGGTGCTCACACGTTGAGCGCAGCTGCCTGAAGGTACGAATGCGTCTCAGATTCTTTGAATCTAGACATTAGCACACCCTGTACATATGCGAGGCAAGGAAACAGCCGAGGAATGTCCGAATAGTTGCATTCAGAATAGAATAGCTCCATCCCCCCCCCCCCCCCCCCCCCCCCCCCCCCCCCCCCCCCCCCCCCCCCCCCCCCCCCCCCCAAAAAAAAAAAAGGAAATCGCACTTCATTATTATTATTATTATTATTATTATTATTTGGGGTTTGCACTTTGCACTTTGCACTTTATTATGAGGGCCCAGTGCCCAAGGCAATTACATCCACAAAGTGACCAAAAAAACAGGGACAGTGGGGTTGTCCTGGCCGTCCAGGGACTGAGACCGCCCCCCCCCCAACATCACAATCTTCATTCAGAATAGTTCCATCCAGAATAGAATAGTTCCATTCAGATTCATAATAGTCCCATTCTGGGAACTGGGAATTTCCGGGACAATTTATTTTTGGTGTTATTAATTTGTGAACTATTATGAAAAGAGTACGAACTACTACGAAGTGATAAGAACGGCTTTTTTTTTTTTTTTTTTTTT